ARKTKSYWAWWAAWTYYTYYTTTTYYWAWTTTTTTTTTAAGTATGAGTAATTGAACCCAGGAGTCACACGTGCTAGGCAAGTGCTCTACCACTGAGTTATATCCCCAGTCCTTTTATTCTATGTTTTTATTTTGATAYGGGGCCTTGAAAGGTTGCCCAGGCTAACCCAGAGCTTGCCATCCTCCTGCCTCAGCCTCCCAAGTAGCTGGGATAGACACCACACCATGCTAAATTCTACTTTAAAAGAAAAATGTTCCTTGGGTTAAGGATTCTTTCTTGTTCTTTCCTACATTTTGCAATTTTACAGAAGTCTTTTTGCTCCATACCCTTTCACAATTCTTCCCCACAAACATCCTCTCAGCTTGCTCCTGCCTTTGGCATCCAGTGTTCTGGGCCATGCCTGGTCTCGCCTTAGCCTGCATAGCACTGTCTGTGGCTTCTCTCATGCCAGTGCTCCCATCATCTAGCTCAACTCCCACTCTGCCACACAGCCTCTGGCTACAAGATTTACTTCTACACTGAGGCTATGTCCCACTCAAGGGTTACTTCTATATGACTATCAGCCAGTTCATTAAAATGCTGCATAGAGAAACTGATTTCCAGTCTCAGTCTGTTCCCCCTCCCTCTCATTTTCACTCTCCCTCTCTTTTCTTCTTCCCTCCCTCTCCTTCATCTACACCTCAAGCTCTCACCCTCAACATTACTATGTTCTATAAACAATTTCATCTTAGAGCAGCCCCAGGATTTGCATTTGAAGAGTGCACTTGCTGCCCGATACCTGACATGTATGGACGAATACAAATGGCACTTGATACCCAAAGCCCTCGATAACCCCTACAGTAGCCTACTMTCTCTCTATGCTGGGTTTCCCTTCAAATCACTCAGACTGTTTCATGGTATTATGCCTTATTCCCTTCTCCAGCTGGGACACACCTACTGAAATCTACACCTACTGCCCACTGGGGAAAGTGCAGCAGCGAGTCAGCAATACAGTTAGGAAGCTGGAATTGTATTTGTGAGAAAGAAATAAATCAAGTTTACAGTGCATCCAGGCTAGGTTTTCACAGTATCTGTTTTGGCAGAATAAGCAATCCAGTTATTATCTCCATTGCTAGATGAAGTGAATCAGACTTTGACTAGTGTGCTAAAGGAATCCTTCCTTTTCCAAAAGGTTGAACAACAGATTTCATTTGTAACTCATTTAGCTGCATAGCCATAGCCTCAGTTTCCTCATTTGATAAAGGGGGTCACAATGGTATCCATCTTGCAAGGCTGTTCTCAGAATAAATAGTGTTATAGATAAAAAACTTATGTAAACTATAAAGCATTATACAAATGTTATTATAATGCTTGCTGCTTTTATTAAATAGTGATTATTATTATAATATCTATGCTAATAATAATACATACAATCCCCACCATCCATATCTCTATGGCAAGAAGACCTCTGTGGCAAGAGGACCACCGCTTATCAACACCACTTTTACAGAATCTTTACCATAAATACTAAGTAAAACTTCCACAGAAAAGTGAAACTAAAATAGTCCAATGCCAAGGTCCTTCACATCAAGAGGATTTTAGAGAACACTGAACACTTAACATTTCTTCCAAAACTTCAGTTTTTGAAAAGGTACCTATTATGTGCTAATACAATAACAGGCCCTGTGGGAGATACAGATAATCATTCACAAAACAATTAAGAGTGAAATGCTATAAAGGGAACAAAGAGAGAATTCTGGAAGCAAGGTCACTATGGTTTCTAACTCCAACCCTTCCATTATGTATCTAAATTTTGGTGCCCCAAACTCCTCTGTATGAGAGCGAGCCAGAATATGYTCCCTACCTGGTTGCGGACGTGGGCCTGGTCTGCAGGCAGCAAATGCTGTTCCACCAAAGCTGGAGCCTTGGAGGGATTGGTTGCTCCCTGCAGATCTTCTGTGGCATCCTTACTCACTGGACATACCATCTGTGGCCTCCCAGAAGAAGAGAGCATGTCAATTCAAGGGCTCTTCAGAAAGGCACAACAGTCTTGGAGAAACTCTGAAATAAAACAGGGTTCAAAGGACACCCCACCTCCACTCTCTGCCTTCTGCATTTAGGTCCATTGTCACTTCRGTTCCCCGCTGCCAGGGGCTGAACTGGCCCACAGTAAGGCATTGACCACGAGTGGGCACATGGACTGACAAAGCTGGGTCCCAGGCTCTGAGAACCATAGAAAACAGCTCCGTCATCTGACATGGATTCCCAGTCTGATTTTCTTTGTTGGTGTTATTTCTATTATTTATTTTAACAGACAAATAAAAATTGTACATATTTATGTGTAAAATATTATACACACACACACACACACACACACACACAAACACTGTGGAATGATCAAATGAGGCTAATTAATACACTCATCACCTCACATAATTTTTTGTGTGTGAGAACATTTAAAATCTATTAGCAATTTTTAAGTATAAAAAATTATTATTAACCATAGTCACCATAGTATGCAAAGATCTCCAGGACTTACTCCCCCCATCTCACTGAAGCCTTGAACCCTTTGACTAGYCCCTCCCTATTCTATCCTATGCCCTGACCTGTGCATAACCACCATCCTACTCTCCGCTTTCATGAGTCTGACTATTCCTCACTCTGGGACGTACTCCACACGATTTCAACAGATAGACTGAGTTTGGTTCTACACAGTCACCAGAAGGAAGCAAGGGGTGGGAGGCCTGCCTAAGTCAGAGGCTGATGAACAGCAGTGCCAGATGATCTGCAAGGCCGTCCCTCCACAGTTACCTCAGGGGCAAAGTCTTTCAGCAGCTCTGTTTCATACCCAGGATATCCCAGTTCACTGCCAGAGGCAATTGCTTTTTTTTTTTTTTTTTTGCTGGGGATCAAACCCAGTGCCTCCTGCATAACCAGCAACTACTCTCCCACGAAGCCGCATCCCAGCCTTTCCTTTTAAGCCCAATAATCAACTATCCTAATGACTGAAAACACAGCTATGTGAATAATTGATTTTGAAGAGGCAAAGGAATGATTCATGCGTCCCTCCATTTCTCTGGCTTCAGAGAGACTAGAATATGAATTAAGTATCAGGGCTGGAGCACAATACCCCAGGTCTTTTGAAAATCTGTTGCCAATAAAAAGTGACATGGCAGGTTGGGGTGTGACTCAGTGGTAGAGTGCTCGCCTAGCATGCATGAAGCACTGGGTTCAATCCTCAGCACCACATAAAAATAAAATAAAGATATTGTGTCCACCTAAAACTAAAATATAAATTTTTTTCAAACTGACATGGCTTTTTAGAGCAACAGTTATTAAGGATAGTTTGGGGATTCCTGCGGTCCTTAGGACCCTTCAGGGAGTCTGTAAAATCAAATACAACTAAAATCTGTGTTTTCATACTAATAATAAAATATTATTTCCTTTTAACTCTTACTGTCAAGAGTGGGCAGKGGAATTTTCCAGAGACAYCTGACATTGCAACTTGAAGCAGAGATGAGAATCTAATTGGGCTTTTATTAAATCCAGGCATTAAAGAGATTTACAATGTCTACATTACTGTTACTTTGGAAATTAARCTGCTTTTCTTTTAAAACGTGTTATTTAAACTAATACATATAAAGTTAAAAACTTTGTTGTTTTTAAGTGAATGAATAATTATTTTCTAATTTTTCAATTTAATTTCTAATATAGTAATATTGATAGATAAAACTTGGTCAGGTCGATGAAGGTGACTTAGGAACAAAGCACCARGCAGCCCGCATGTGAAAGAAACACCCATCAGGCACTGAGGGAACTGCAGGGTCTCCTGGCCAACCCTGGATCTCAGCCAGTTCCCCCCACCAACTCCAGTGGGACAAGGGACTCTAAGAGCCCCTTTTCCTGTCCCAAGCCCTCCCTTCCTGCCYTAAGCCCCATCAAATTCCAGTCCTGTGGATCCCCTAGGCGGTTTCTCCRCAGACCCTCTTATCCGCTCTGTGGGTCTGACAGAGTTCCGCCCAGGAGTAGGATCTCAATAAATTCTCATAAGAGGCTTTTTAAATCTGCCTCCTTTTGGTCACCACCATGGCCTGACCTTACAAAACTCACATAAAAAAAAGTTCTTTGGGATCCACAATAATATTTTAAAGTGTAAATATTTGATTTGATTTTAGGGCAACATTTCTTTATTTCTTCTTTTCTCCTTTGTTAATGTAAACAAGAAAAGTAATTCTTAGTTTATAAATTATCTCTTCTTCAGATAAACAGAGCCATCTTTTGGATTATCCAAGGCCTTCCACCTATATCAGAGCAATCAAGAGAATCAGGCTTGCTTGAGTGATCCAGTGTAAGTTTTAAATTGGTCTGTGAGTTTATTTTAATACTTTTTAAAATACTTTTAATTAAACCCAGTAAACTTTTAGTCTGTTTCTGCTTCTTCTGTCCCCTCTTCTAGAAGGCAAGCCTAATGTCAGGGTCKGGGCCTCCTTCCTTCTGAATGCACAGCATGTAAAAGCAAGCCCCGCCCCCGAGCACTCTCACCTCATCTCCTAGAATCCCTAGTTTGTAGAAGGTTACTCCAGCAACTTCGGCCTCTGAATCTTTGATGCTCCTCAGTCACATCCAACACTCTTACTCCTCTCCRCTCCTGCTGTATCCTCTGCCTGCAGTAGTCTTCCTCTAGCTCACTTATGGCTGCCTTCTTCCTTCAGCTTTCTGCACCACTATTCCATTCCATGAGGTTCCCTAGATATAGGGTGTGAAATGGCTCTTCCTTCCCTGACCCTTTCACTCTTCATACCCTTACCCTGATTCATGTTTCTTCAYTTAGTACTGCCTGACATACTATGTAACATACATATTTTATTGATTGCAAGATACACATTAGTTTATTGTGTAAATATTTTGTTAATATTTATTTTTTAGTTGTAGTTGGACACAATATCTTTATTTTATTTATTTATTTTTATCTAGTGCTGAGGATGGAACCCAGGGCCTTGCACGTGCTAGGCGAGCACTCTACAGCTAAGCCACAACCCCATCCCTCAGTTTTTGGGTTTTAACAGAACTGAAATATAGGATCTCTTAAAAACTGATGATGTCTTAAAAGTGCCATAGGTCTAGACTAACACTGAGTTCTCCCACAGGAGGGCTCGTGTGTGCTTCTCCCAGTGCAGGAACCTTACCAGCCTGAGACACCCTGAAATTAATTTCTCTTTAAGGATTTTGTTTATACCACATGAGCAGAGTGAATTAGACAACAAACTGATGACTATGATTTGTGATTCATATTCTCAGGGAAGGTATTTTTCCTCCCCTTAAACAATGCCAAGTTTGAGACATTCATATTTTCTTGCTGAGCTTTTCTGTGTCTCTATCTTTTAATTGAAGATGCAGGCTGTTGGTGTCCCTATTAGACTCTCTTTTTTGGTGGTACATCAGATAACAGCACATCTTACAGGTGAGATGACAACTCAGATTCTATGAAGCATGCTACATATTTGTTTTCTGTCTGCATCCCCCACTACAGTATAAGATCTGTGAGGCCAGTGAGTTGGACTGTTTTGTTCATTTGTAGTACCTTCAATACCAGGTATATAGTAGATGCTCAACAAATATTTAGTGAATGAATAAATAGTACACAACCCAAAATATTTGTTGAATTAATAAATGAATATGCTAGCTGGGCACAGTGGTGCATGCCTGTAATCCCCATGGCAGGAGGTGGCTGAGGCTGAGGCAGGAGAATTGCTGAGGTCAAAGCCAGCCTCAGCAACTCAGTGAGGCTCTAAGCAACTCGTTGAGATCCTGTCTATAAAACACAAAAAA